TTCTGATTTCAATTGTTTGGTTGGGCGGAATCGGATTTCCTCTCTCTCCCTTGAGAATGAAATCTCATTCCATCTAATTCCTGTTTGAATCAAACAGACTATGAGAAAGGATCATTCCATTTCCAATCCCAAAGGATTTTGATTTCAACTCCAATTACGAACCAAACAGACCCTTAGTGTTGCCGACTTCCTACCTACCTTGATCGGCCCTTGTCTTCTAAAATCTCAAATTCGAATGAAATCCCACAACGAATCGAAGACAGCTTCTCTCTCAGAATGGTCCATAATACGGCAATGATATAAGGCATTTTATGTCTAGTTCCAACAAATCACGTGGTGAAGTGATTAGTCGTTGAATTTAAGTAGCAAGTAGCAACGAATCCATAAAATGAATCTTTCTTAGAACAGACAATGACAACTGACATAACTAGTTTACCGGAAAGATCTAAGCCGGAGCCTGGGTGAGCAGCCCGTGTCAACGTTCTGTCTTCGACAACATAAAACGAGGGTCTATTATATTACTACAGAGCTTTAAGGAAATAATGAAATATTTCTCTTTTGATTTTCCATTTTTTAGGTTCATGAGGTTAAGCAACGGGGCTAGCCCATCCCCATACCTATAAGTCTATATAATTCTATAACTAGGGGTGACCATTTTTACCAGCCCAAAAAAATGGACTTTGGCCTAGATTGTAAAAGGATTGAATAAAGTCGGATATGGGTAGATTTCAATTTGATTTGTTTATTTTTTGGTTAGAATTAAATCTCACCTTTGGAATTATAGTGGAATCAATTCTAGTCGGACTGCAATCAGATATTGAATAGCATTAATAAATTAAGTTAAACTCAATATGATCAAAATATTTTGTATTATCAATAAGATGAACTAAAAATAACTTTGATATTGAATATTATGGAACAAAATGAAACTTGCTTGAACTTGAATATATGACTCTGTTCAAAAAGTGTAGCATTCTAACCATTTTTACTAATAAGTAGAATATAAATCTTATGTATACATAAGCATACATATTTAAATTGAATTTTGAATCAGATAAGAATTGATCCACATTTGATTCAATTATAATTAGATCAAATTGGAATTTAACTTAGAACAAAGTGACACCATTTGCAGGCCTAGTTTCATTATCTTATTTTAGGTATCAACTATCAAGGATGATAGGATGATACCGTATAATCTAATTGAGCAATATTATTTAGAGTTTCATCATCTAAGCCTTATCCCAACCATATGGAGTTGGATACATGAATCCCATTTCACTATTTCGTTCTACCTAATGCCATATCCATTATTAAACCAAAGTTGCAGAGAATTTGATTCATAAATTACCAATAATTTTTAGAACTTTGTTTGCAGTGTGAAAATTTCATTTGCACCGACATAAATTCATGAGAGTGTAAATTCTGGTTTATTTTTGGCTTTGTCTTGTTTTCTTGTTAGAAGTAACATAGTAAGTCAAATGTTGTGATCCCCACCCTCTATGATAAATAATTGAAGTAGGAGGAAGGTGATACTCACCAATTTTTGTGATGCAAAATTTCCATTGTCAATGACTGCATACAACTATACAAGGATAACGCAAAGTAAAAGTTTTGTATCAGGTAGGACACAAGTAAATAGATGCAAAACTGAACCAATTACAAAATTTTTTTTATCACATTACAAACAAATAGAGACTTATGATTTAAATTCTTTTGAATTTACCTGATTTGCTTCCCCGTGGATATTCAAAAAGAAATTCCTTATTGGCATGGAGCAATGAGCCTCATCATTACCGCATGCTTTGGATTCTTAAAGCATCGCCAACTATAGGGAGAGCGTCATATCATGGTCCTTTATCTAATAAATTATCAATATCTGTTTCTGTTCTACTGTAAATTAAAAATAAAAATAAAAAAGTGGATACTTTTTGTTACATTTAAAAAATGGTTTGATAAGGCAAGATGGGAGTGATTTGATTAGAATATCAACAAATTTATAAATTTTTAAAATTAAATATAAAAATATATACAATAAATAGGAATTTTTAATTTAATTTTAAAGAATTTTAGTACTAGAATGATCATTCAGTCTAAGGTAAGAATTCATAAACTCAAAGTACAATTGGTGTAGGTGACAGTTTAGAATTAATGTAAATTTACAGGCGGGTATATATGCATAGAATATGGGTTTTTAACCTTTTAAATGTTTATAGATTTACAGGAAATTTAGAAATTTGTATTAGGCATGTCCGTAATTTTCCGAGAATGATACACGTGTATGTATACTGTATACTGGATTGGGTCAAATAAAATCCGAATTCAATCAAATAGTGGATTCATTGCTAAACAGATATCCAAATCTAAGTTAAATAAATGAAACTTGAATTAGAATTTGCTCCATTTAAGAGCCATGATACACAGACTCTCCGTGGTGTGCTCCATTTAAGAGCCATGCTCTGCCCCACGCCTTATTCCTCTATATCAAAAGTTAGAAATTCAATAGATTAAGTGGAAAAGTGCTCACCATCAAGGTGTACAGATCAACTTTGATGCATAAGTGGGTAGTAGCACAAACCACAATATTATCTCTATTGGCAAAACATTTGATGGCCTAATTATGAATGTCAAATATAAATCCATTGACAACCATGGACTACAATTGAGACCCACCTTATGACGAAAGTGATAGTAGACCAGAATGTTCGGATTGAGGGAGACTCTAAAAATGATATTGATTGCGTAAAGTACAAAATTACCCTTCTGTGAAATATAATCAACACAAGTCGGCACTTGTATACAAGAGTCTGATTGATGATGATAGTTGTTGAGATGGTCATTTGACATCTTTTTATTTCGAGTTCAAATTAGCTTCCCATAAGAGTGCGCCCCTCAACGTTTCACAGCACATTCTTGTTGTGTATTGGAAATATTTCTAGTTTTTTTTTTTTTCTGTAAATCATTTCTAGTATTATCATCCGGAGATGTTCCAAATACAGTAGGAGGTGTTGTGGGACACTGTGGGGTGCAGTCTTGTCGAGGGCTGATTTGATCTTTTTTTTTTCCTTTCAAACTCTTAAATGGGTGGTTGAACTATTAATCTGTTCAATCAGAACAATAAATTTTAATTGTTTTTTTTTTATTTTAATTAATTATTATTATTTTTAAATTGCATTAAATCATCTGTCCAGATCAGATAATCAAACGGGAGAATGACGGTTCAGCTCAAGGTCAGAATTTTTAGGCCCAAAGTATAATTGGGGTAGGTATCAACTCAAAATTGATGTCAATTCACGAGCGGTCATTGATGTATAGAATAGAGGGTTTTGACATTTTGAATATTTATAGATCTGTAGTAAAATTCAGAAATCTGCATTGTACATGTTCATACTTGTCCGACAACCAAACCATGTTTGGTGTCATAATAGAGAAATAAAAAGTTAGAGAAAAAATTGCAGGGAGAATTTTGGCAACTCTCACTTTAAACCTCAAGTTAACTTGCCACGTAAGAATTCTTGCTTTTTTTTTTGGGTAGAGGTAAGAATTCTTGCCACCCCACCCCGGCACCCCCCAAAGAAAAAAATAAATAAATCCTCGAAGGACTGGACGAGGCTATTTTTGTCTTTTCAAAATATGTTGGGCTGCCCACGAAGAATATGACCAACCCAGGACATAATACCTATTGAGATTAGGTCGCGTGCATGCTCGTCATGCGCGAGCGCGTGAGGCCCATACATGATGGACCAGGAAACGTGTTCATATATAGATTGATTCCAAATGCATGCGAAGTGACTGACATACCCCTGTCTTTGGGAAAGATTGACATGCCTTGCCGTTTTTCTCTTCTTCTTCCATTTCCATGAAAACATTGAAAAGAAGGACATGACAAAGAATCAGTGAATCACTAATTCACTGCAACACGTTAGTAGTTTCCATCACTACGTGTCACATGTAAACATCACCTTAGCTTTTGCTGAGCGCATGATGTACGACTGTGGTCCCACGATCAAAGGCTCCCCCACCCTCACCCCGAATGATCTGGACCATCCAAAAGAAAAGAGAAGGGCATGATCCAAGTATAATGACGCATTAAAGAAGGGGGTGGCCCACCAACAATACAAAGGATTAAAAATCTAGGTGTCAGTGCACCTAGGCAGCCCATGATCTGAAGGAAAATGACCTTAGATCTTCCGTGATGCAAATGGAGATGTGGACAAATTAACGTGGTTATATCAATAGTCAGCGGGTGGCTTGGTGAGGGGCGTCACTGACATTGATAGAACTTGGGAGAGGATTAATAAACCAAGGGAGCAAGGGGAAGGAAGCATGGGTATGGGAGAATTTATGTCAAAGTTGCTCGATGAAATGCCAAACCGTGGGATTGTGTTGTTTGATTTTACTTGAGAAGAGATGAAATAAATAGGTGGTGGTGGTGGGTGGTAGCAAAAATAGGTGCAGAGGCCGGTCACCGGTGGAGAAAAGAATCTAGGGTTGTCTCATAAAATACGCAATTGCATCCGACCCGGATTGAACAGTTGGACCTTTATCTGGAGACCCTTTTCCCCTTAGCTTTCTTGTTTTGATAGAGATGAAAGGTTTGTTGCCTTGTTGGTCCCATCTGGGAAGTCAGTTTGAGAACAAAATGCCCAATTTGGGTACAGCCCAGGACCTAATTTACTTCAATCCTAACCCTAAGGTTTCAATCCTGACCCAGTCCAGCCATGAGATTAGGATAATTAGATTGGGTCCTAAATCCCTAATTGGAATCAGGGCTAACAAATTCACAAACTCATGCATGATATAAATATAGTTATATACAATATGATGTTCAAGTAATCATACATATTCATGATGCATAAACATTTTATCTACATAATTGACTCGTATTCCCCATGGCATAAACCCTAATTCACTCTGATTTTATATGGGTAGCATTTTTCAACCGAAACCCAATCTTCAAACTCAACTGACCCAACCCGCCAAGTTTGCACTATCTCCCGACTCCCATAGTCCCATGCGAGAGGTCTCGTATTTCCATACCTGTTCGGGTTTGGGAATTGGGCAGAGCCCCGACTTAAGCGTTGGGACTGTATCAATCAACTTGACAGCCTATATTACTTTCAGTCGTCAGTGTCTTTCATCACTCCACAATCTTCAGAAGTTACGAACTCTCTCACTCTTTCGTAAATGAAAACGTAAAGTAGACGCCTCTCAGACTCTTTCTCTCTCTCTCTCTCTCTCTCTCTATACTAAAGTTCTTTAGTAATCTCTCAGCTTCAAAAATCAACAGTTATTTCTTCTTTGGTTGTCTTGGGCTCTTGGCTTCAAAGTTGTTTGCAAATTCCCGCTCCCCAAAAGTGAGGAAGAATTAAGAAGCGAAGCCATGAAAGGAAGAGGTAGAGCTGCGGAAACCTCTTCCGGTACCTGGTTGCCAGACTACTACTCTTCGTCAGATGCTCCGTGCAGGAAACACCCATCTTCCTCTTCAGTCGGAATCTGTGCTTACTGCCTGAAAGACAGATTGGTTAAGCTCGTATGCTCTGACTGTGGAGAGCAACGCCTCTCGTCCTGCTCCTGCTCCGAAGTCTCCTCCTACCCCAATTCATATTCTGTCGAGGTGGGCAGCGTGGGTAGAATCTCATTCCTCATTGAAAATGAGAAGGCTGAATTCCCACGTTCATATTCAAAGCCTAGTAGTGATGATAAATCAGAAGCTAGTGTGCTTCTTAACAGGAGCCGAAGCATCAACTGTGTTGATGTCAAGAGAAACGGGTTTTGGAGGTTTGGAAGGTGTTTCAGGAAGAAGAGAGAAAAGGGTTATTGGTCTTCAAGGAGAAACATTCGTGGGTTTGATGAGAAAGGTGAGATGTGGGTTTTCGATTATAAGATGGGTGTTTCTAGGTCCGAGACTGTTAGCGGTTTAAGGGCTGGTTTTGATGAATGTGTAGACGGTGCTAGCTTAAGCTCTACCGTCTCAGGCAGAGGAGTCTCTGATGTCAGTGAGAGTAAAGCAGTTTTGGTGTCTGAGAGCAGAAGTGGTGTTAAGGACGTAAAGTCTATAAAAGATAGTTTTAATGGTGATGTGAAGAAAGGTAGCTCATTAGTGTTGTCAGAAGCGGATTTCGATGGTCTTGATGACTCGGGTTTCATTGATTTAAATCTCGGTTGCTCTTCAGAATCAAGGCTTAAGTTCTCTGATCTGAATATGAGTGATGGTAATTTACAGTCAGAGTCCGGGTTCAGCGATTTAAGAGGTTGTGAATTCTTGAAGCACGGAATCAGTTCTTTTAGAGGAGAAGAAACTTCAAGTAACGGGAGCTCTTGCAGGATCACAGTAAATGATAAAGGAACCGAGAATGGTAAGAAAAGATTGAAGGCGTGGAGATGGATTTTCAGGCATTAATTCAAAGGAGAACGGTTCATAACTTCAAGGTAGAAAGTAAAGAACACAGTCTCACTGCAGATATACGACAAGGTAAAATGGGTTTTCTCTATTGGTGGAAGGAATCTCTGGTTAATCATTAATGTTGCTTAGTTGCAGTGTTCATTGCTTTCTCTTTGATTTTCTTTTATGAAGATGATGAAGCATTATGGCTTGTATAATATAATGGTCTGGACAAGTAATGTAGTTTCATCGTCATCGTTCCATGAACTTCAGAGCTGTAGCCTGTAGGAATCCAAATTGATCCAGCCGATCCATCACCTCTCGATCTCTGATCTGTTGTGAATGCGTCTCCCCCTTTACTCTCTATTTCTGATTTTACACTGTTAGGCCTTCTGGGAGCTTTTCTTTGTAGCTTCGATGGAACTTTGCTCGATCATTGCAAATGAATATAATAATAAAAAAATACATGGTTGTGATGATGAGCTCGATTTGCAGGCCTAGTTAATTTTTTTTAGGTTCTTGAGCGAAAAACAAAACACTTTTACGTTGTAGTGTACCCATTAAAGGAGAAAGAATGATGAATCCAGCCTTCTTTTTGTCTGTTTTTAGCAAAGCAGAATCGAAATGTCTGAATGCTCAACTCGATAAAAGATTGAAAATTTTTTGGAGCATGCGATTGCGATGGAGCTGCACATTTATGTGCAATTTCAAAACTGATATAACGTTGCAACAACATTATATGTAATAATAAGGCCTTAAGCAGGTGCATTTTTGCATGCAAAAATACTTTCTTGCTTTGCCTCTCTGCAAAACAAAGCTCTATGGTATTTTGGAAGTAGATTTATCTGTAATCAAGAGCAAGCTGGGTTCACCGAGTGGGGAACAAATAACATTTAAAGACAATGTCTTCAGACGTTTGTCTCATCTATTTGTGTTATATATTGCTGTACCAACTGAGACGATCATTTCTTTAGATGGATGATTCTGGTTTGTCTAAATCCCTCCCCCAAGATCCTGTACTCTATTGCCTTCTTTCTTTAAAGGGAGCTGTTGCTGCTAGCTACTTTGCTATGAGAAACATCTATGTGGTCCATTCCTCCTCCAAAACTTGCTCAGAGATAGCTGTTTGAAAAGCACAACCCCGAGACAGTTTTGAAGCTTTGTGGGCTATAAAATGAGAGGTTATATTGCCATTCCTGCCTTAGCCTTTAAGCTCTTGGTTCAGTTAGTGGTTTGGGCTTGATTAGGTCCCACAATGGGATGGTTCTCATCTAAAAGTGCCTGCATAGAACACCCTATGGGATGGTTCAGTTGGTGGTTTGGTTTGTGGTCCATATCCATGGTGGGTATTGATCCTCCCGAGAACATGACATGATGCATGATCCAAGCCTTACACTGTTCTAAGGGTTCTGCTGCTTCTGTATCCCCAGAGACAAGCTTTTGATGTGGATGATCAATGGATGAACAGGAGTTGGGCTTGGGCAAGTGGGTATGTGCAGTGTACTATAGTACAGGACCAACAGTTCTATGGGTTCCATTTCAAGTTTTCAACCAACAACTATTCTTTGTGGTTAAAAGCTAGATTGATCATCACAATGATCTCTGGAAATGGAATAGAATGGACTTTTCCTTGAATCTAACCTAGCTACTGCCAGGTTCTGTTTACAGCAAAGTCTGGGTTAAGTACCCAGCTGCCGAATACCAGGTTCCACCTAAAGGGTCTCCTGTGCTAAAAATGATTGCCACTTTGGAGTGAGGGATCTGGACCCTTCTCTCTTTGATACATCTCTAGTTCTGATGAATGGATTATCAAACAACTTTTTCAACTAAAAGAAAAGATGCAGATAGGATTAGTTACCACCACATTTGATGCAGTATGTACGATTTCTGCAGCTTAAGATAAACAATCAAAATGATTTCGTCGCAAAGAATTGATGATGACAGAAGAAAGCCTGCCAAAAGTATTTGATAAAAAAAAGTTATAGGGATCTACTCTGAGTTCTTGTGATCAGATCCTCCTCCACACAACTTCGACGTTGCATACTAGTCCTCTTCCACTAGTTTGAGGAAATAGACTGTTAGAGCTTAGACTTAGTAGATCAACCAGTTGTACTGAATACGGATGAAGTATTTGACGAGTCCAAAACACAGAAAGCAATGGGCAACCATGGAGAGCAGCAAATAACAATGAAAGAAGATGAAGTCAACTAGTTGTTAAGTTCAATTAGCTTCATTGGGAGTGGCTTCTGAAGTTGGCCATGATTACAGGGCACCAAGAACCAGATTCAACTTCAAATGGGCCCAATAAAAACAGAGTTTCGGCCCATTCCCATAAAATTGGGATTTGGGAGTAAGATTCGTTTTAGATTATTTTCCTACCACGGCTGAAGTGAATGATTTATTACTTTGTCTTTTATAATTTTTTAGGGAGATTCTAAGCTTCTTAATGGCTGAGTGGTGAAGTGGGGTTGATTACCATACACTTGAGTTGGGATTTGGTCAGTGCAAAGCCCGTTCGAACAGCCTTTACAGCCTTGCATTGGGAATATCTCTGTACTTATGTGCTTTATTTTATGGGAAGATATTCCCAATGCAAGGCTGCAAGAGGTTATTCGAACGGTGTGAGCATGGGTTTGCACTGACCAAAGCCGAACTCCATACACTTGCATATTTTATTATTTAATTGTTTATCCACCAACATAGAAAAACAATAAGTCATCAAGTTTAGAGACTTCAGCCATTATAAAATGGCAAGAAATATAATGGCTGAATATAGTCCAAACCAAATGTAATGGCATTGCATTGTTGTTACATTTTAGATTGATCAAATACAATTTTGTGAGAAATATGTGTCAGTGTCATTTGATCATTTCAATTAGAAAAAGAAACATCAAATAAGACGTTTAAGTAGAAACATTAATTTGTGTCATTCAACTCAAAATGTTTTCAAAACATATCAATATATCAGGTAAAAACAATGTTCCACACAAATTTATTTTAATCAATCCAAAGCATAAATGCAATACAACACCCCTTAGTTGTGACAACGTAGTTGGACTCTCTAGATGTTGCAACTGTGAACTGCCAAATCTTACTTGTATTAAGAATGAAACAAGCTTAAGCACAGCTAACCTGATCAACGCCAGGGGTAGCTCAGCTATTAGACAACCCTTCATCCTACCGTATCTAGTACGGCTGTACTGAAATCTGATTCATTATTATTTGTATTCATATAAAATTTTATTTTTAAATTAGGGGGGCGTTTGACAAGTCTTTCAACAGAAGATCTTCTAATAGCTAAAGAACCATAAGACCACAAGAACTTTCATAGGTAGATCTAGAAAGCCCGAAAATCGTTTGGTTGCAGTAATTGTAATAGATATTATAGAAAGCTAGGAAGACATGAAGATCGTTTGGCAAAGTCCTTAACAGTGATGAATAAACGTGTGCTTAAGACATGTGAAATATCAAGTGTGAAACCCAATAACACATTCAAATATATAGTACTCATGGGTCCCAATTATATAATTATTTACACAAAATAATAAAGTGGACTCATTAATGCATTCACCATAACAAAAAAAAGAAAAAAAAATCAATGTAGGCCCCACTCTCATCTTTCGCTTACACATACATCACCTACTTGACCCCACTCATGTGTTTACCTATACAAAATATTGAAGTGGGACCAACCCATGCATTCACCTATACAAATAAAACAATGTGGGCCCAACTCTCATTTTGGGCCAGCACATATATTATCTATTGGCCTCGTGGCTGTTATAGTGTTCAATATCCTGTTTAGTATAAAATTGTTAATGGATTTCTTTCAACCATGGCTGTTACAGTGTTCAATATCCTCTTTAGTATGAAATAATTCAAAGAAGAACCATCAGATGTTCCAAGATAATTTGTTATAGCAATTCTAGCAGATAACAAGAAAATTAGAGAATTAATAGTTGTGTGTAACAGAAATAATTTTCCAATAAATAGCTAATCTTCATCAACAACAAAGAGAACTAAGCATTATAATTTGGCAATTGGGAAAAGTCATAAATGAATTAATAATCAATTGTAGCAGAAATAACTCTTCAATAAATAGTAATATAGGATTTGAGGCAATTTTGTGATATGCCCCCAAGGAGGAACTAGCAAATCAGTCGTCCCACCTTCACAGTAATAGTAATTAATATGATATTATAAGTATTTTTAATAATTTCCCTCTCCCTCTATCCCCATTGTTGGTTCACGTTAGTAAACAACCCTTTAAATTGATCTTGGGAGGGAGTTTGACCATAAAAGGGAAAATTCAATTCCAAGACATTGCAGCAATTTAGTGAACATGGGAAAGTAAACAATAGAAACTTCAATTAAACAAAGAAAGCATATGGGTTTTAATAAATTAAATAGAAATTCTTCAAATTTAAGCGCTCTAATTCTAAGCACTCGGGCTGGTCGTCTCTGATCTCTCAACTCATCCTCGAAAAACACACTGCAATTTTGATGAAACAAGCCTCCCCGCAGTTGAATTCCTATTGGTATCAGCAGATCATCCAAAGACAAGAAAACCTAGAAGGGAAACCACAAGAAATAGCCTAGATTGGAAGGCCAAAGAACCTAGCATGAAGGGAACAGGAAGTAGAAGCGAATGTAAGCAAATTGGATATGACATAAAGAGGCGAAGAGATACCTAGAAGGAAACCAAGATAGAAAAAGAAGAATTTAAAACCAATGAAATTAGGAAAAAAAATTAAAACCCAGATCATATAAATAGCGAAAGAATCAAAAGGTGAAAGCCAGATGGCAGATGAATAAAGAAAAGGATCTCCCCAAAAAAAAAAAATTAAACAAATAAATAAAGCAGACCCAAGTGGAAAAGCAAAGTAAAGAAAAAGAAGGCGTACAAGGTAATCCCTGTTGAGGTGAAAAATGAAAAATATTTGCAGGTTTGAAAAATAAAATGCCTTCACCGGGAAAGGTGTTGTAGTTTTTGTCCACATCGATTTATCACCATCACCTACGTTGATTCATTAATTACTATTTATGTCCCTTCGAAATCTTTAGACGCGGTTTGGGGAGACCCAGAATTTTTAATAATCAATTGTAGCAGAAATAACTCTTCAATAAAAAGTAATGTAGGATTTGAGGCAATTTTGTGATATACCAGCAAGGAGGTTTTTGCTTAGCTCTAGACTAGCTAGAACTAGCAAATCAGTGAAAGAATCTACACTGCATTGAGTTTCTAAAAAAAAAACCATCGTCCCTCATTTACAGTAATGGTAATTAATAATTCCTCTCTCCCTCTGTCCCCATTGATGGTTCACGTTAGAAGAAGAAGAAGAAGAAATGAGGAAGAGCAGGAAAATACCTTCTACAATGGAGGGTTTTACATGCACATTGAGGAATGGGTGGTTTTGTTCGAAGAACCCCAACTATTTTCTCAATCGTTCACTTCTTGGCACACGCATGATAAAGCTTAGAA